CAGCGCTGCACCACGAATTTATCAGTAAAATAGTTTCGCAGCTGAAAAGCTACATGACATTTCTCAGTAGCGAGGTTCATGAAGGAGTTTAACATAAAGATTCGCTATTAGAAGACGCTGCTGAGAGACGCATAGACGCAGGTATTCACACGCACTTAATCTCTCTCTAATAACCGCATTAGACTGCATTAATAACTGCGTAAGCCTGCATATCAATGGCTCAAGCCTCTGTTATCAGATCTAAAACGACGTTTTGGAATTTGCAACGGAAGGTTTGGGATGAGGTGCATAAAAAAATTTGTTCAACCCACATGAGATTTCAGGACGGAAACATGTCAAATGTCTTGAAAGACGTTAGTAAGACATAAGACGTTTCAATTGCATTTTCATTAAATACCACGCGATAATATTAAGTCAATGTGAATTTGAAAATGCATTCTGAGCTGATCACGCCCCCAACCTGTCAATCATTACATCAAGGCAGGGCTCAGCAACAGAACGCACAATGGGTCAATATTTACCATTAACCAAATGCCTTTCACCTGCCTTAACATTTCTCACTGTTTTACAGTCCGATTGATGCACATAAGCAAACACACAATGCAATTCTACACTTTTACCTATTTGCCACCATTTATTCTTCTTCTATAATGGATCGCGTGTCCCCCAGCACCTAAGCATCTCACTGTCTGCACGACGAGTGATGCACGTAAGCAAATTCTTCACTGATTTACCACCTTACATTAGCCTATATTTTTTTTCCTCTCTCTTACCATAATATAGCGCGTGTTCCGTGGCACCAAAACGTCACGCGCCTGCCACAAGAGCAGCCACCGGACACCGCGATTGATGCCCGTGATTTATAATACTAAGATATCTCACTTTGGGTGTGGCATGTTCTGTGACAGCTGCGTCTAGATCTGACTGGTAAAGTGTCATCTGGGGCAGGCAGGAGTAGCAGCGTTTTCTGTATGGTCACGGGCATCAACCGGAGACGCTTAGGTGCCACGGGACGTGTGCTCTATTATGGGTTAGAAGACAGGAAGGCAACACCGTGTCTACACCGGACGCGAGCGGTGCGACAAATGACAGTATTGAACCCATTATAATCAGCGATGCGACACAACAACACAACAACTGTCGCGTCCGATGTAGCCACGGTGTAAGGTGGCAAGTAAATAAGTGTAGAATTGTTTGCTTATGTGCATTAATCGGAGTGCAAAACAGTGAGAGATGTTGAGGCAGGTGAAAAGTGTTTGGTTAATGGGGAATATTGACCTATTGTGCGTCCTGTTGCTGAGCCCTGCCTTAGTATAATAATTGACAGGTTGGGGGGGGGGGGGGGGGGAAGGGAGGAGGGGGGGGGGGGGGGGGGGGGGGGGGGGGGGGTGATCAGCTTGGAATGCATTTTCAAATTCACATTGACTAGTCTAAACTGATCGCAGGGTATTTAATGAAAATGCTATTCAAACCTCTTAAGCGTAAGTGTCTGCATTTTAGAAAGATAAAATACGTTTAAATCACCATTTTTGCAATACGTAAAAGTTAATACATTTTAAATTGTTATTGTAAGTAAATTAATAAATCAAAACAAACTTAACGTCTCCCTCAATCTCATTTGCGCAAGAATTGTCACGTGACGAATCTGCATTTTGGTGGATAATAGATTTAACGGTAATGCTTGCCTGTTGTGTGGAATAAAACGATGTTCCGCGTTTTTAACAACATACACGAACTGCAGAGAAATCTGGAGACAACGAAAAACTCAGATGAAGATATTAATGCCGTGCTTAATGATTCCAGACTCAGACAATCAGATAAAGGTGATCCACAGGACGCAGCCGTTTTAGCCGCACACTACTTTATTGCCGACCATTTACATCCAAATGTTATTTAATTTTCACAGAACACAACCTTTAAATAGATTTTAGAATATAAACTGTTTATCGTCTATTCAGTAAGACTAAATAAAAAGTGTGCACCTCATTGCATTAACTAGAATCAAGCCCAACAAATGTCTGTTTTAAAAACAGTGGATGAGTAATTCAGTCCTTGATTTGCTTAATAAAAGCCTTCTTTAAGATCGTTTTGACAGACATGTTTATTGTGCATTTTAAACGGGTTTATTGCTAAGTTTAGTGTGGCAAAATAGAAGCGCAGCTGTAATTCGTGGGCAATGTATGTGGTTACCATGACAACCTCACGCACTTGCCACTGCTCTATGTGAATATGTAGATTTACTATAGCAAAACTAAAATATGTTTAAAAGTACGTCTGACCAAATCCACCGGTTCGGTTTGGCCCCCCCAAGCTCAAACGTCAAGCTACGCCTATGGTCCTACCCCTAGGCCTAAATCATAGACTGTGGTCTAAATGCATTTAGGAAAAATGGCATTAAATGATAATTTTGCTACAGTTTTTGCTTGGACATGTTAAACATCTAATTAATTTGGGTAATACATTTTAATTTTGCAACTTATAAAGTGTTAAAATTTGTTTTAATATGTAAATTAAAAACCGTGTAGGAAATGGCAAATGTAAATTATATAATTGAATTTTCATTTTCATTTAGCATTAAACATTGCACATATGGTATGGAAAAATGTAAATGTAAATAAAGAAATGCATTGCCATTTTACATATTGCATTGCCATTTTGTAAATTACATTTCAAAATGAATACTGCTACCCATATGCTTCCATAATCACTCACTGCTCTTGACTGAATTACTTTGTAGTTTTAACAAGAATCACTGTGCAATGATATTTTACATTTGATTATTCGTTTTCTGTACCTGAACATCAAAAAATTTAAAAATCTTAAACATTGTTTAATTTGCATCTTTGTTCTGCTTATTTATTTGTACAATTTACATAATTTCAAAAAGGGCCAATAATTTCATGGGAACAACCTACACCTTGTCCCAGCTACGGTCTAATGGTTAGAGAGTCAGACTTCAATGACACTATGAGAAATTAAACTGATCTGATCAGTGGTGTTTTCTGCAGAGCTGCTTTATAGCCAAACTGATCTAATTTAATAATTGATGCCGTGGAACTGAACTAACTTCAGCTAAGCAATTGCATTATTTCATTTTTATATGGCAACGTTAAAGATGCTTTTTCCACCTCCACGCTGCCACCACTGGGAGGATCTGATCCTAACGTTGTTAATCTTCGACCTGAATATCAAAGACTTCTTGAAAGGGAGAAACCTCAGGTAAAGACTGTTAAGATTTGGAATGAAGAGAGTGTTATGTGCCTTCAGGGTTGTTTTGAGTGTACTTTGTGGGAAACTTTTGACTGTCTAGATCTGGATACTCATACAATTGTGGTTTCAGATTATATCAATTTTTGTGTGGAGTCAGTTATACCAACAAAAACATATAAAATATTTCCCAACAACAAGCCATGGGTATCAAAGAAATTAAAACAACTATTAAATAAGAAGGTAGCTTATTATAATCATGATATTTTAGCTTATCAGACTAGATGTCTTGGTAAAGCTATGAAAATTATATCTGATGATAGGCACCCACTGTATAATGAGTTTGAGCTCTTGCCTTCGGGTAGAAGATTCAGGATACCGGTGTTTCTTAAAAATAGAGGGAAAAAATCTTTTATAACACAGGCAGTGAAGTGCTTAAATGAAAGATAGAAATAGGAGATTTATTTTTTTTTATGTAATGAGCAGGTCTCATTCAGTAATTAGCACTACTTGATTAATTGATGCTAAATTGTATTGTTTCTATTGTGAAATTTATGTTGTATTGTCGTTTGTGAGAACCGCATATTGAAACAAGACACTGAAACAAAATTTCCCCAAGGGGATAAATAAAGTTACTACTACTACTACATGAAACCATCTGTATTCAATAAAGTGTAACAGAAATAAAGGTTACTTGACTTGATATAGAGTTGTGTAGTTGCCCAATGACAGTGTTTTGCTCACAGAACACAGCTGAGAAATGAAGAATCTGTCAGCACCCGATTCTGCTGTTTCACAGACAAAGTAATGAGACGGTCTTTTCCACATTTACCCTGCACTCTTATACTTTCATAAATGGTCACGTTTTTAGTACAGCATAAATGTAGCAGTTTTCTTTTATGTGAATCTTTGAATACTTACTAGTTAAAAATAAGGGAGCTGAACATGTGTTTTGTAAATGTTATAATTATATGTCATAAACGCGCTACTTTCCCCGTGTTATTTCCCTCCTCTCGACGCTTCACACTCCAGTCCAGCGGGTGGCGTTAAAACACACGCGTTTGTTTGCAAATTACCATTAAACCTTAGCGAAGAAGATTCGTTTCACCGTAGAAATGTACTTGTAGTGTACAAAAAGATTTTAAATCCGTTCAGAAATACTTGTATTATTCTTATCATAGAACAAGCAGGGCTGTCTGAACTGAGATCTGCTGCTGTGAAGATGGTGTTTGTTAAAGAGGAGAGTGAAGAGAACACGAGTGAACCAGAACCCTGCAGAATAAAACACGAGGAACAAGGTCAGTCTTTATTCTTCATTCATCTTTAATGACACTTTGTGCTACATGAAAGTAGCGTTCGTTGCTATAGCAAGCAGACATCCATTTCTGAAAGAAAACGCTCCTGATGTCTGCTTGCTATAGCAACGAACGCTACTTTCATGCATCTGATTAACCGATAAACCTCGCACTCTTATTTCAAGGTTGTTGTTATTGCGGTGGTTATTTTAACGGTTTCCTTCGTACTAGGGCTGTGCGATATTGAAGAAAAATGCGATATGCGATACGATAATGCTTAAAGCACAATCCTGTGACAGTCACTGGCTGTAAATAGTGCAGCGCGTGAAGGAGAAATGCGAGGACACGAACACTACTGTTCAAGGTCTCCATTAATTCGTGCTTGTAGTAATTTAATGTGTATATATTTTGAAAGCATTGAATTGCTATAGAAATCGCAATTAATTCGATTATTAGCGTTTTAAATCAATCACTGTCCGAAATTGACGATTCAAAAATCTTGTTTCAAGATCGATGCATATGCATCGTCATGGTTTGTAATCGATGCATCAATAAAACAAGTGAATCGTTACACCCCTAGTGTCCACTGATCCTTAACGTTTTTTAATTCTTTTTATTTTTTATTCTTTTCTAATTCTAATTTTTTTATTTCTGTAAAAATAAAACCTTAACGGTCATTAAATAATCCACGTTTCAAATGTCTTAATGTAGCTAAACAGAGTGTACGTGTGTGTGTGTGTGTGTGTGTGTGTTTTCTTTCATTTTGTTAAGTTAAATCAATTGTGTATAGACCTATTTAACTTTAAAGTGCTGCAGGTGCGTGATGTGAAGATGTGTGAATCCTGATGTTCTGATCTCTGGGGGAAATTTTTTTTTTTTTAATGGGTCACAGGCACTTGTCCATTCTGATTTAATTGCAATTTAACATAACCGGTTAACAGTTAATTATCGGTTAAGGGGCGTTGATTTTCCTGCTGGTTTCAAAACACACACCACACTGTAGTATATGCCATTGATTTTCACTTAAAGGTGCACTAAGCGATTTTTGAAAAACGCTTTTGACCACAGCGTCAGACCGAGTCCCAAAACACACTTGTAGCCAATCAGCAGTAAGGGGGCATGTCTTGAAGAGGGTGCACATGACGGATGTTAGCAGATATAGAGATAGAGAGCAGATAAAAAAAAAAAAAGAGGAAAATATCAGCGAAACAAAATATAAAAAAGAAGGGGTCTTCTTGATAGGTAAGTAACGTTGATTTTGCTTCATTTCATACAAATTATCCATGTTGGCTTTTGTTTGAATATGCTTGTGTGTCATCTTCACTTGTTTCCGCGATCGCCGTTGCCTTGGTTGTGTACGTACGTGTGGGGAGGAGATTTCAAAATAAGGGCAAGGTCCTGTTGGGGTATGGGAGTGTTTGTTTAGGTGCTTTCAAATATCAACATCGTTTGGCAAAAATCACTTTGTGCACCTTTAAATCTAATGCTTTAACAGTTGGTGACATCCTCAGAAAACCTCTAATGGCAGCGCATTGCCATAACTTGCCTATGATGAGCGCGGGTATTTCAGTCACGTTGGGTGCATCAGTTATTTTCATCATTATAATGTTTTCATTTCAGGCCTGATGAAAGTGAAAGAGGAAAGACAAGATCTGAATGAAGTGGAGGAGAAGCATCAGGATCAGAAAGATCATGATCTCAACACTGGAGAAAAATCAGTGAGTTTCTCTAAAACTGAAAACGGCAACATTCAAATACCAGAAGTCAAAAAGCCTTTCAGCTGCTCACAGTGTGGAAACACTTTCAAACAGAAAAGAAGCCTTATGTACCACATGTTAGTTCATGCTGGAATAAAGCCTTTCAGCTGCTCTCAGTGTGGAAGGAGTTTTACACACAAAAAGCAACTTAGTGATCATGTGCATATTCACTCTTCAGAAAAGCCTTTCACCTGCCCTCAGTGTGGAAACACTTTCACACGTAAAGGAAGCCTGAAGAATCACATGTTGATTCACAATGGAATAAAGCCTTTCGTCTGCTCTCAGTGTGGAAAGAGTTTTATTCAGAAAGGACACCTGAAGGTTCATTTGATAACTCACTCTTCGGAAAAGCCTTTCACCTGCTCTCAGTGTGGAATCAGTTTTGCCTATAAACAAGGATTTAATATTCACATGAGAATTCACACTGGAGCAAAGTCATCTGTGTGAGAAGAGTTGGAAAGCTGGTCTCGGAGCTCATGTTCATCGCTTTCACTGTGCCGTGAGGAAATTGAACTGATCTGGAAGGAGATTTCTAAGGGTTGACTCTAGTGCTTGGTGGTATACTGGTTCATACCGAATATCTGTGTTTATTTTACTTATGATATGAATTTCTAAAATACCACAATATGTATTTTTTTTTTTGTTACTCGGACACAGGCTGCATGAGGCAAAAAAGTAATATAACCAAAACCACCGCATAGCCGCTCTTTAGTGTAGATGCATGTTGATTTTATCATACGATGCCGCGATTATAAATGAGAGCAACTCCTGGTTAGGATTAATGGGTCGTGTTTAGTCACTATTTAGTGTGGAATTTTTCTACAATATTTACTCATCCTGACAGTAAAATATGGCATTCTAAGTCAATGTACTGCAGTATTTCCTCTCTCAGTCAGTAGAAAATGTGGTTAACACCCGGTCATGCATGAAAAAAGCTGGCATAATTTTTTAAAATACTGTGATATTTTTGGTCATACCGCCCAGCACTAGTTGACGCTTTAAAAAAAGCCCCAGAAAATAATTCTTAAGAGAGCGAAAACTCTCTCTGTGCTGTGAGTGTGGGAAGAGCTTTGATACAGTAAATATGGCAGCAACAGTGACTGAAATACGGTGAAGCAGCATTGATCATATTTAAAAGTACATTTTCTCTCAGAATCTTGACTTTGTCCCTGAGGTAAACAGACATTAAATTGATTCTGACTCATTTTTAGACCTGGAAAATCACAAGTCTATTTCTTTCATTATTCATTTTTGTTTTGCCAATTTTCTGCTTCATAACAGTGTTTTTCATGAGATTGTGTCTGCTTTTAGGCATTTAAGGCATTCAATTGTTTTGGGGGCATTTACATGATACAATTTTCAATGAAATACTGAAAATATTTTATGCATTTTGCTATTTATTTAGAGTTCATTTTTGGTTTTTCCCAGTCATTTTGGCTTAATTCTTGAACTATAATTTTTATAATTCCGCTCTCTTTGAACAGTTTTATTGTTCACACCAAATTTGAATTTCTTATTTGCATCGCTATATATGACTTGCATGCAAATTGATTTTCTTTTTACATGTAATGCATTTCTACACAAATAAATGTACTGTATACATTCAAATGTGCATATTCATTCTCTGTGTACAATAGGATTGACTTCTCCCAGTAAGCTTTTAGGGGAGAGCGGGGCACAAAGTAACACTTTTTGACTTTCTCAAATTGTGTAAATCCAAATGGGGTTCAGAGTATATATATATTTTTTTATCCACAGTAATTTTACACTTGTCTAGTACAAATATGTCGCTTTGTTTCATAATTACAGTGTATACGTTTTTCTTTATTTACCCTCAAAAATTGGAAGTGAGAAGAATATACAAGACAAACTAAAATATTTTGTCAATAAAAAAATTATTTATTTCAAATAAAATAATGGCGTTTTTTTTAAGAATTACAAATAATCTGATTTTGGAGTTTGACAATGAACACATTGCAACCATGCTTGGGACGGCCCAATTAAACGAGCCACAATGCTTTACATGTCTTGAAATAATAATTTCTTAACAATAAACATTGACTGTCAGTCTTTATTCACCTGTTTCTCGTTGTTTATCATTCAAATGTATTAAAGTAAATAGTGTGAATTACATAGAATAGCACATTGTAACGCAGTGTTACAACGTGGCCCATCTGCGGAACTGGAGTTTAAAACTGGTTACTTATGTTGTTAGCGAAGCATTAAAAAATAATCTAAACTGATAAATAACAGATTGGAGATTAAAATAATTGCAGATTTGTCTCATTTTAAATTAGTAAAAACTGAGATGAAAAATTTACTTAAGCCAGAAACATAATTTTACTATGGTAAAATAAATTTTCAGCAATATCTTCAAAAGACTTTTGAATTTTGGCGCACTTTTTTTTCTCTATATAATGTTGATATGGTAACTAGTAAATGCTGTAAATTTGGTTATGCTAGCATGTGTGGAAATATTTAAACCACGTGTGTTACTACTTACCCCGCGTTACTTTGTGCCCCGCACTCCCCTACCATCTGTTGAAATCTTCCGGCCACCACAGTAGGGCTGGGCGATATATCGAATGTTAGCGATAATATTGCAATAATTTTGACGACGATGTAAAATGAGAAAATATCGTGAATATCGAATATTTCAAATTCAAGCATACTTTCCCAAAAGAAAGTGCCGAACGTCCAAAAAGGAGACATGTTATTGCGGTCTGCTCTACACGCCTCTACAACGTGAGCTTTCATGAGTGCGGTTGCCAGATATCAATAGTTATAATCCCCGAATCAGAGCTTCGCTGTTACAAGCATACATTTTCTGTCCAGTGTTTTGCTTATTTTAAGCAATCTGGCAACCATGCGCGCTCGCTCCTCGTTGCGGAAGCGCCGCCGCCAATGGTCTAAAAAAAAACGACAAACAAGCTGGAGTTTAGCGATCTAAATGAAAGCGTCACTCAACCAGTCTGTGTTCTGTCATGAGATCTCGACTGTATTGTTTGCTATTGTGATTGCTGAATAAATGCACTTACTCAACCACTGTTGTTTGAATAGAGAAACATAGGATATGGCAATTTGGAATTACTATTAGGAATTTCACTGTTATAATATTTGTATTGCATTTGTAAGCATGAACCGCCTTTTTAAGGTCATGCCACAGCATCTCAATAGGATTCAGGTCAGGACTTTGACTAGGCCACTCCAAAGTCTTCATTTTGTTTTTCTTCAGCCATTCAGAGGTGGACTTGCTGGTGTGTTTTGGATCATTGTCCTGCTGCAGAACCCAAGTTCGCTTCAGCTTGAGGTCACAAACAGATGGCCGGACATTCTCCTTCAGGATTTTTTGGTAAACAGCAGAATTCATGGTTCCATTTAGCACAGCAAGTCTTCCAGGTCCTGAAGCAGCAAAACAGCCCCAGACCATCACACTACCACCACCATATTTTACTGCTATATAAATAAAGGTGACTTGACTTGACTGTTGTTATGATGTTCTTTTTCTGAAATGCAGTTGTTACGTGCCTAATGTTGTTATGGGGAAATATAACTTGTGTGTGGTGTTTCGTCTTTTTCTTCCCTTTTTGTTGCTATTTTCTTCTTTCTCTGCCTATCTCTGTCCTATGATCCTGCCATTGGTTTATCGGCCTGTCAGTCTTAATTAAAACGTCTGTGGAATCCTCCAATCAGCATTGAGATTTAGAGTACAAGAGCCTCCGTTGACACCGGAACTAGGCAGAGTTCCTTCCGCTGCCATTGTTTGTTCTGACTGAGTGTAGTACTTTGTTGGTAATGCTCTTTTGGAGTGTCTGATGCTGGTCATTTTGTTCATGATGACAAACCTTAACCTGAACCGAGTAACATCTGACCGGAGGGATTTGAACAGGGAAGTATGTCACGTGACTTACATTGTCCATCATGTAGGTTGTAACAGTGTTTAGACACATTAGGTAAGGAGCATGTGCCACCCCTATGTACTTTTGTTTGTAGAGAGTATAGGCTTAGTTAGGGCGTTTTTGCACCGAAGATCTGTGTGTATTCTTTTTCCAGATAATTTAGCTGGGGATTGGGAGAAGTTTGTGTTTTTGTTTCTTTTGTTTGGCACTGCTCATGTTCTTTCCCTCCGTGTTCGCGTAAACCCAGATTGTAAATATTTGTATATAGTGTGCATATGTTTCGTACTATTTCTGCTCTCTACAATAAATAAAAGCACTTTGTTTTTGCATGTGACTCAGTTGCACTGTGCCGGTTTGTCAGTAGCGTACTTCTGAGCTATTTATCTTAAAATCCTGGGTTACCATCTATGTTGCGTTCGTTCCCTTATACCCTGGACTTGAGAACGTAATGGCAGTGTTACTTTTACACCAGACTTAATGGGACACACACCTTCCAAAAAGTTCAACTTTTGTCTCGTAAGTCCACAGAGTATTTTCCCAAAAGTCTTGGGGATCATCAAGATGTTTTCTGGCAAAACTGAGACGAGCCTTTATGTTCTTTTTGCTCAGCAGCGGTTTTCGTCTTGGAACTCTGCCATGCAGACCATTTTTGCCCAGTCTCTTTCTTATGGTGGAGTCATGAACACTGACCTTAACTGAGGCAAGTGAGGCCTGCAGTTCTTTGGATGTTGTTGTGGGGTCTTTTGTGACCTCTTGGATGAGTCGTCGCTGTGCTCTTGGGGTAATTTTGGTCGGCCGGCCACTCCTGGGAAGGTTCTCCACTGTTCCATGTTTTTGCCATTTGTAAATAATGGCTCTCATTGTGGTTAGCTGGACTCCCAAAGCTTTAGAAATGGCTTTATAACCTTTTCCAGACTGATAGATTTGAAATGTTCCCAAGTCCAGAAACGTAGCAAGGAGATCTGTAAAATAATCCATGTGACATCAGAGGTTCATCCGCAATTATACAAAGCTACGAGAATACATCCAGCGGATATTATCAAAAATGGCACCTAGGTGATGTGGAGGAGACGAATTGTTGAATAAATTTGTTATGTTTTTTTTCTTTTGCGCACAAAAAGTATTCTCATAGCTTCATATAATTGCGGATGAACCACTGATGTCACACGTTTGCGGGCTTCACACGGAGCATGTAAACTGTGCATGCTCCTTGACCTTGAGAACAAACCATGCCTGCGTGAGGTCGTCAGACCCTAAACACTAAGTATTTAGTCTGAGCCACAAGCATGTATCGGTGGGCGGGGCTAAACAGGCAGTGATGTATAATTGGTGGGAGGGGCAAAACAGACAGGGATGTAGAATTGTAGGCAGGGCTAAGCAGGCAGTGATGTTAAATTGGTGGGCGGGGCTAAACAGACAGTGCTGTAGAAGCAGGCGTTGATCTTCTACAGAGATGGGCTTTTGCCTCACTATTACGTCATAAAGTGGCACATTCCAAAAGAAGTAGTTTTCTGAGCTTGGTTTCAATAAAAGCGGCTTTTAAACGAATGAGAAAGTTTTGAGTTTTTAAGCGTACAGGATGTTTTTATAGTACACCGACCGGTTATATTTAAAAAAAATTCAAGGGAAATTTCAAAAATAAAACCCATAAAATTGTATTATCTGTGTCATAATAAGATGGAAAATGGCAATAAATAAATTTTCAGATGCCTTTTAGGATAAAATTACACAAGGAAGTTTTTAATAGT